TAATGCAGACCGATAACAGATATATTTCAGATTTGCGATTCAATTCTTTTCAAAAAATTGCGTGTAAATCGGTTTGAAATTTGTTAAAATATTATAAAAGTGTGTTCTTAAGCACAATTTTGAATTATATGTGTACATGTACATTTAACATAAATATGAAGGTATGTCTTGTATCAGAGGGGATTAATGTGGCATAGCTTTATTTAAAATTCAGAATTGGTTTGAGGGCGATTCAACCCTAGTTTTATTAAAATCATATGAAATCCAAACAGATTTTTGGTACAATTCATCAGCGAAGTCGTCTGACACCTATTCGCCATGCCACGAACCCGAACAAGTTCACGGCCTTGATTTTTGGCCTATTTGTAGGGGCCGGATTTAGTTGTCAAATCATTTGACCTTCATGCCAATACAAATACCAAGGGCATTTTGCTCACGCATGCCCTTGCATACAAGCATATGTTGTCCGCCTTATTTTACTTAGCAGCCATATGTATTTTAGCGTTACTTTTTTTTACATATTGCTCATACGCCGTGTTGCATGTGGCACGTTGTCGATCTAAACGCTGATAAGACGCAGCAACAGCTGCCAGCTGCCAGCTGCTAGCTATGTATGTGGTATGCTATGTGGTATGCGGCTGTGTATATGTGAGTGTGTGCTTGTGTGCGTCCGCAAGTGTTTGCTCACTGATGTATATGTTTATATAATTCCCACTTACCGCTGCTACACATGAGTACAAGTTTATTGGTGTTTTTGTCGCTGCTGCTGCTTTTGGCTCAATGCTTGGCTTTTACTTGCCGTGTGTACTTTAGTCCTACACGCTTGCATATACATATTGAAGGGGGTTGAAGGACGGTCCCACCTTCCAAAGGGAAAGTAAAGCAAACCGGAAACCCGGCAAAATGAAAATTATGCTCTTTTTGGCATTAAGTTTATGAATAACGAGCTGCTCCACACGAATGTCTGCGGGCTGCTGTTATGCGCTCTCCAGAAAGCTTACAGGAATTTATTCTGTGCCATAACTACACGCACACACACAAACACACGCACATACACACACACACACATATAGATATCTGAGCGCGCGGCTACCATCGTGTTTTGCCGCTGCCTGCCGATCAAAAGGTGTTAAGTTCTGTTGTTATAGTTAAGCGCCTGAAAAACCACAAAGACATGCACAGCAAGCAAGAGCACGTTGACAGCAGCGAAGCTTTACTCCAGTGGCAGGACGAACGGACTGCCTGCCGCTTCATCCAGGTGCCATACTTTTGGAGGGGCCAAAGATTTGCCGTCTTAATAGTACCTGATGTTGCCATTCTGTGTGTATATTCATGACAAAGTTCAAAGACTGTTGAAAGACACGAGATTCCTTAGGTTCCATTTGTGAAGCTAGTTATAGTAATTCATAAGCCATATCTATATATATTGTAGCGAGTACTACCCGGCCTTCCCCGAGGATGACCGCGCTCCTGAAATTTTATACATAACCTATCCATCCATAATCCACCCGTGGAAAGTTTAAATTTTCTTGTTATCTTAACATGAAACATATTTAAATTCTTAAATTCTTATCTAGCATATAAATACAGAAAATATAGCTCTGTTGTCGGCTAGGGAAACCAACAACAAGCCAATATAAATTAGAGCAATTGGATTGTGTATCCATAGCCCAACAGCTGCCCGGAAACAACATCTCAGTCAAGCTTCAGGCAAATGTCCGTGGACATCACAACATTTGATAGTCTCCCGACACGAACAAGGGCAACGACAATATGAGGATATTAGACAATCTGCGACAGCTAGTTTTAGCAAAGCGAAGATAAGATACTCTTACAAATATAATACAAGTATATATAACTCAACTAAAACAGCAGCAATGTTTATACTTGTAGATAGTTGAAGTGACCTCAACTCAACTCTTGTTTAAGCACTGCAAATGTATTATATTATGTTGGATAAGCCCAACGAATAATCAGACATAGGATGAGGTCGCTATACGTGCCTTCATTTAAGCATTCACCGGCTGGAACTGTGGCCCATTGCCTCCACTCAGCTTGAGAGCCAGATTCGCATTTTTGAGTGCGTGGTGCCGTTCCAGAGTTCTGAGTCGCACTGGTTCCGTAATTATGCACTTGTCGGTTCAATTGAATCCCATCGAGTTTTCCAATTGAATAGCCGTGTGCGATTCGGGTATATTTTAACGAGCGCTAAATGACTGAAGTGGTTCGTCCACTGGCCGGCGTTGTCAGTTATTTCCATCTGCTATCAAAGCATGGCTTCTAACAACCCCCCACCTGGCAGCATGTGCCACTCGGCGCTCGTTCAAGTTCCATTTAGCCTTTATGTCTCGGTGTCGGAGTCGATGTCAGCATTGGCATTGGCATTGGCGTCGCCCCACCTAAGGGATGTTGTCGTTTTGAAGCACGCAGCGACACACACATTTATGCCAACAAAAGGCCTAGGGGATATAAATGGATAGCGAGCCAGGGTTTTTTGTGATTTCTGCTCAATGGGAACATGCCAACAGGCTTTCACATAAAACTATGCAGTAAAAGAAGCGGATACGGATGCGGATGTGAATGTGTATACATATACAAATGCATCGTAAACATGTCGCCGTGTTATATTAGTATTTCAAGTAGCGAATATGAGAAACGCTGTCAACGCTGATGTCGTATCAGCCTTTGTTGTTCTTTGCGAGGTTGTGGTCCACTAGGCATAAGCGCACGCTTGGCGATTCAGTAGGTGGGTAAAATGTGTTTGGCTTATTGAGCAAGCTACTTGGCTTGTGAGCTTGTCAGTTGGGACATCTGATCCGATACATTCTGCCAGTTCGAAAAATAGCCTTTGGTTTTCACCAAATGTGGCTTGGTACTTTACGACATGATTTACCAGCTCTTTTGAATAGATGCAGCTCAATATAATTGGGTGCAGTCTGCAGAATTTAAGTAGCGAAATAAATTCGCCGTTCCATTTAAGCCATTTAAGCAAGAACGCTTCTACTATAAAAGAACTAGTTCGCAAATGCACGGCAATAAATATGGGCAATTATTGAAAAACGAATATATTAAGCACGCTCTGAATCCAGCTTGAACTTAGGCACAACACGGAACAGCTAAAACCCCTGCAGACAGCCAGTTTTGGGAAATCACTTATATTCTGTTCGGAAATCAGATCTGATTTGATCTGTGTGTTTGTATGTCTGTCTGACTGACTGCCAAGACATAAAACACCGTAATTTATGGCACATTTCCAGCTTCACGGCGCGCCATCGGCTGTTGCGCTCATAAAATGGTCCTCGGCCCCGAGCCCAAAAAGAGGCAACGGGTCAAAATGGCGCAACGAGGCAAGTGGCAATAAAGTGCCAACCGAAATCAATAATGCGCGCGCCTCACAAATGTGGCAATAAACTTGCAAAATTCGTGCTTAAAAAAATAAAAAGGAAAACGAAAAAAAAAGCATGGAAAACTAAATAAGAAGAAGCGACCAGAACTGAGCTCAAGTCAACTCCAAATTGATTTTGGCTTATTAACAGAACTAAGCGCCGTAAACTGCACTAAGCGGAAAAGTTTTGGCTCATTATGTGAGCCCAGCTGACAAGTGCCACCCTCCCCTCCCCACCACAATTCAGCCATCAGGGCATCCAAAGCCAAAATCAAATGAAACTTGCTGATTACATTTCTTTTTCTTGTTTTTTGTTGTTTTCATCTTTTATAATCAAATGTAATTTGCATAAATTTACAAATATTCAAATGCGTGCAAAGCAAAAGTTTTCCAGGTTTCATTCGTTCCATTTCGTTTCAATTCTGGCTAATAGCCGCCATCTACAATGACCACCTCGAGGAAGGAACCACCCTCGTTGGGGCTGCACATCTGATCCATCTGGCTCTCGCTCAACGTCAGATAGTGCCTATCCGCGCCCAGCAGGAACTGATTAATGTGCATGCGGGTTGCAAAATTGCGTAGCTGGCGACAAACGCGAAGCCCACACTGCAGCTCCCGGTTGAGGAAGCCCAGCGTGGCGCAGACGGGGCGCTGTGTCACAGGTGCCACTAGCCAGAACACATACAGATAGCCCATGCTGGAGCCATCATTATCAAACTGTTCGGAGTTCAAGAGCAGACCCGGCCATGTAGTCTTGCAGACCATTACCAACACTGGCAAACAGGTACACAATGATCGATGACACAGCGGCAGATTGAGCTGTGGCGGCGACAGATTTCGACTGCCATCACCCGTCCAGTTAAGCACTCCCAGGCAATGATCGTGGCCAGCAACCAGCTGCTGATGCACCATCAGCAGCAAGGTGCACTCCCCAGTTCGCACCTTGCGCATGCGCAACCCAAAATTAGCCGCCATCGTAGGCGTTTCCACTAGGTGCTCGCTGAACAGGTGGCCCAACAACTCTGACTGTCCTAGCAGAGCCTGGCAGTCGCCCAGCGGACAAACTGCTCTGCTCTGCTCACCCTGCCGCACTGCATCTCCCATCATTTTGCTGCTGTTGTTGTTGTTGTTTTTGTTTTTTTTTTTTTTTTGGTTATTTTATATGTTTTCTTTTGTTTGTTTTTGTAAAAAATATTATAAATGTAAACCTTAAACGAAATTCAAAACTGAGAACAGATTACTTTTTCGAATGCAAACTTCACAGACATTGATTACAATGTACGTATACCATCAATCTGAGAACAGGTGACAAACAAGCGGAAATGCAAGTTGAGTCCTAGCATCAATTTATACGCATGTGTCATTTTTGCATTTATGTATATATATATATATATATATATATATACACGTGTACGTGTATACAAAACGTAGACCAAGTTTTCTTCTGGCTTCTCTGCAAATTCTCATGAATTCAAGTATGACTTACAGATTTTCATGCTTTGATTATAAGTGATAAGTTAAAAATATAGTTTTCAGGTTTCAATCTCCTCCTTTCCTTTCCATTCTTTGGTGCTCTTATTCTCTAATACGCTCTTTACTTCTCGTTTTCTTTCAGCTGTGGTAACAAAATCAACCACCCTCCTATGTGTTAATGGCCATAAAATAATTGGGATTTTTTATGTAAATTCTTGGGTAAGTACATAATTACATATATTTTAATATACACATAAAAATATAAAGATTGAGATTCAGACCTTATCACTGAAACCATCTGATATAAAAATTATTATCTGAGCGATCGATAAGTCTTTTAATTGTCGTTGACGAAAGATGGTGTAAGCTAAGAAGATAGGAGGAGACATGGCGATCAGTGTTCCAAATACAGAAGCCGTTTATAATTGCAATGCAACGCTGCGCACACATCATTATAGTCAGTACTTGAGAGCCAAGAACCTTTACGCAGGCAGTGGGTGGACCAGGAGCTGCGGCAGGAGAAGTAGCACCAGAAGGTGGACGTTCATTAAATGTGCAAATTGTGTGCCCTGCCGAAAAGATTTTTAATAGATTGCAAGCGTTTGAGACGCGAACCAACTATGGGGCTATGGCCTCCCAATATACAGCAAACGCGAATGGGGTAGCGAATGTGATGTGCAAACTTGGTGCTTAAAACGACGCATACTCTTAACTTAATGCATATTTTGTGCCTTTGGGGCAAGGGTAGGGTAAATAGGGGTACAAGATGGTGGCCAGATGGTGGGTAGGCAGTGGGTAGGTGGGTGGGCGGCAACGTCACAGTCTGTTTGCGTAACTTTTAGCCGACTTTCTGGACTAAAAGTCAAATATTTCATTTGGAAATTCCAGGCACTAAGGCTGGAATGAAATGTGAATATTTACAAATACATAGATAGAGGAACACACACATATATATAGTTAACAGAGAGTGTGTGTGTGTGTGTGGGTATGTGGGTGTATGGGTGTGTGGTGACACGCCTACAGCAACACCCAAACGATAGCAGCAAAACACATTTTTCTAGCTGCGCCCCCAACCCAGAGTACAACTCCAGCCGGCGGCTGCTTAAAAACTATAAATTAAGTTTACAACTTTTCCGCAAAAAACTTTTTTTGCAGCCGGTCATTTTTGTTGCTTTTATTGTTTCATTTGGCTGTTGCTATTGTTGTTGCTACTATTATTTCAGTGTTTTATCACAGTGTGACAAAATAGCATTGTAGCAGCAAAGACACAATAAAAAATGTGTGTCAAGTTGCTTGGCGACCGAACAACTTTGACATCCATCATTGCTGCGCTCGACACTTGTTGACCCTAAATGGGACAGACAGGACAGGATCGCTGGAGTAGCTATCAGAGTGCAAGGGGGGGGGCAGACATTACCAGCCCTGCAGCCAACAACTGACAGCTAATCAAAATGTCGCACAAAGTTCATTAACAACATTTTCCAGTCAATTGTCTTGTCAAGGTAGCCAACAGCATATTTCTGCAAGAAGTCGCCGACTCTGTTTGCGTTTTGCATAGACAGGCAGAAGCTGCCGAAGGTCCTTGTCGGAGTAGGTCGTTTAGGTCGTGGCAGCACTTTGTTAACAAGTTGGCATCAAGTTGTTTGTCTTTCACCTCAGCGTGTCGATGACACGACTCCTACTTAGAGCATTCTCAGCTGGGCGGGTGTGACCAATTTTATTGCCAGGCAAATCAACACAACTTAACGAACTGTTCCCACATTGCTGCCACTTAGAAGGCATAGACCGAGCTCCAGCTTTCACTTCGGTTAGCCAATGAACTTGAAATTGGCAACAGAAGGCTAAGCAAACAGACCGTAAATTGTTTATGGCCTTATACAGTTGCAACCCATACCATGCCCAAACAAATCAAAAATCATCTACTCAAATAGATACAAATCATGCATTTTGAAATTGGGTAAAATTTAAAATGCTCTTCATAGATTGCCAGCTCACATTACTTGTTCACATTCGCAACTAAACCCATTACCATTAGTAATTAGAGTTGTTAAAAATTTTAAAATATAAGAATAAATAATGCGTAATACTTAGTATCTTAAAATTGTGGTTCTATTTAAAGTGGCATTTAAGCAAATTAGAATTTCAGCTTTAATTTTAACTAAAAATAATTTGATATTTATTAAAATAAATTAATTTTAATTGGTTGACATTTATTTGAATACGCACTTAACGTATGTTTATTGATTGATGCATTATGATTCGCAATTAGTCTTAACTCAAGAAAAGATTGCTACTGATAAAAAAAAACGCAATCAATATTTTTTATAATAATAAAAACCCCTTGAGTCAACTAGGTTAGGGTAGACTTAGAAGAGCTTCCTAAGAAAAACTTGTCGTAAGTTTTTAAGTTTAAATTTGTGTCCACGATGTGCTTACTGAGCTTCACGCTGCTCTTTAATTCGAATTTGCTGGGCTTCCTAATAAAAAGAAATTTTAGAGTCTAAGAAAGCAGACATTTAATTACATAAATGCTTGATTTTAATTAAAGTACGCATAAGTTCATGGCCTGGCTTGACACTATGTTTTATATTATGCCTTTTTCATGCCAGCTTCAACTTTAATTACTTTGGTTCTGCTTTGAGAGCGTTTAATCCGCCCTCTCATCGTGTCTTTTGCTATAAGGAATGCTTCTGTTTTGTTTAGCTGTATTTTGCTTGCTGTGTTGTGCTTGGGTTCAGGCGAGCTTTAAGATTTCTCAATATTTATGTGAAAGTCGTTAACTGCATGGATTGTTTGCATATCAAATGGGCATAAGACCTGTGCGTGTGTGTGTATGTGTTTTATGTAAAATATGCGAGTAGTGTGGCCGGGCTGCAGGCACGCACTGCCTGCCAATGGCTAGGCCTTTGCCTGTTTAACTTCCTGGCACGCACAAAAGCGCAAGACACGCAAACGGGTCAAGGATATTATGCATATGAATATACAGAACGTAATCACAACAGAACCAAACCATGCCTTACCCAGCCAAATAAAATAAAACAAAGCCAAAAGCAGTTGCCAGCAATTGTAGGCAAACGTTTCATCAACTTCAAAGCAGTCGCTGCCGCCATTTTAGCTGCCATTGTCGCTGACGCGGCGGCCATTGTTGTCGAAGTGTGCGTGTGTGTGTGTATGTATGTGTGTGCCACTCAAAAGTCGCAAAAATGAACGCGTAATTGTTTGTACATAAATACATTGGATAAACATGTATTTACCACACACACACGCGCGCACACGCACATACACACGCAGACGTACACATTCAGAAAACGCTCCTCGTTCCTGCTGCGGCTGCATGCAACGCGCATTCATTTGCATGCAAAGACTAGATGAACGTCTAGATTGCTGCACATTGCCAAGTCAAAGGCGTTTTAATCTGCTTACCTTGGCGACATTTCCTTTTCTATTTTTTTTTTTATTTTCCTGTGCCACAGTGCAAAATTCATTTGCATGATTACGGGCGACGAATCGGGTGCCCGAGGGTTCGTCTGGGTTGGCTGCTGAGTGTGCGTTGCCGAGGCTGCAGCAGCTTTGCTTTAATTACGAGCCAGGCTTCACTTTGAGCACATAAACAAATTGAAAATTGTTTATGGCATGCAAATTAATCAAATCTCTTTCTCAATTAAGTCGCCTGCCGTGGTGGGGGAAACTGAGCGGTTCCTGGTCTGCTTCTGGTCTGGTTAGGACATGCAGACGGCAAAGCGCATCGAGATAAAGCACGACGGAAATTTCATCTTGTAAGCAGCAAATGCAGCCGCCCTTGAGCACAATTTACATTGTAAGGCATTAGTCCCAGGACAATAATTATTATAATTAAACTCAAAATACATACGCAAATCTTTTTGCAATTACGTTAGTTTATTTGCACTCGCCGAGGGTCGCATAAGCTATTACCGAGAATGTGGAGCGTCATATTTTGATTAAAACAAATTTTCAGAATACATATCGGTATCCTAAAATGACCCAGCAAATTAATCGAATGAAATGAAATCTCGTTTTGAACAACTGTTGTCACAATTGCCTGGATTTTAATGAGTTGTGTTAATAATTCTTGAAAACTGTAATGTCTCACCATTTTAAGAAAACTTAAAATCAAATTAAATAATTAGTTAATAATCACAGCAGTGTGTATTGTACCTTCGACAGATCTATAAGAACAATAACAACAAATCTGTTGTTTTTATGTGCTCCCAATCTTGCCAGCCAATTAGCAAACTAGCGCCTTGCCTCGGTTTCTTGGACCTGCCACATACAGCTGTTTGCAGTAAATGTCAAATTTTCGGTCACTTGTGTTGGCAAAACGTATGCTCATGCGCCGAGAATGAGTTGGCTCATTAAAAACTAAAGTGTAATTATTGTGCAGTAATGAATATAACGACAGCAAATCCATTAATCATTGCTAAATGGATTTTGATGGGGCAGCCAGTTGTATTTAAATTTCAGACAATTGTCTGTTTTTGCCTGCTCCAAGAACCTGAGTCACTTTAGATGATGCGCTTTAATAATGATTATTATGTCATATGGGTGTATATGTACATATAAATATTAATGTGTAAATATATTTATATAACAGCTGCAAATTAATTTGAATTCTTCAAGCATGCCTGCTCCGCGGTCACTAAACAAACATATTTATTTATTGTGGTTTTAATAAGTTTTCTTAAGTAAAGTTGACTTTCATATGCTTCATTTGCGGTTTATTTTAATTTTATAATCGCTCGCATAATTTGTGGTTAAAGCGACGCTTACACGTTATACTCAAGCTAATAATTAAAAGCAATGTATTTATATTATTCTCAAACTTGCTTATTCATATATTAACGTAATATATTCCAAAATATGCAAATAACATTTTACTTCTAATGACAATGATAAATACTTGGCAAGTTTCACAAGTTCAACTGAAATGAGTGGGAAACTCTTATATCCTGTGATGGTCGCAAAAATGATTGCAGCTATGCCAAATTTAGTTATTTTTTTTTCGTATATGCTCACATTTTAAAGCAATAGAAAACTGCATTGCGATGTAATGTAGCTCGAAACTAGCTTATGAGAGTAAAGCTCTGCGATCCCTTCGGCTTCCATTTCCAGTGCTATTTGCAGCAGTACTTTAGTATAGAATGCACGGGAGCTGCGCCTAGAAACACTCGCCAAAAGTAGTGATAAGGAATATACGGGGACAAGACATTGGACTGACACTTGCACGTGTATGCCCCGCACAGTCACCTCTTCCCTCCCTGCCCCTCTCCCACTCCATTCCTCACACCACCCACAACGCATATCAATTATGAGACAGATTCAGTGTAACCGATTCTGGCTTCGAGCAGAAGCGATTAGCGCCTCGCATCGAGGACGAAGAGAAAAGTACAGCAAATCAACAGCTGGCAAAGAGCATAGCTTTTGCCAAGGTCGCTCTCTTGCACACCGCCGCTCAGTTCACCACACTCACGCATGGAGTGCTGGCAGGAAACTCACCACAGTGGCTGCTTCATGCTGCTCGTCATCGCCAGCAGACAAAGCCGCCATTCAGTCTATCGTTGAACTCTGCTGCTATTTGTTGCCCCAGTGGCTGCTCTCAGTGGCTTCTCTCAGTGGCTTTCCCAGTGGCAAACGGTACGTGTGTTCGACAACGGCGTCAACGGCGACGACGACGACAGCTACGCGACGCGCCTTACGCCCGCCCTTCTTCCACAAATAGTTGCCGCAGCACGCGACTTACGGCTTTCCGTATTGTTAAGTTGTAATTCAAAAACGCGCCACCATTTTTTGTGATCACATTTTTTTTTGTCGTTTTTTGAATCTGCAAACATCTAAACGAATTTATTGAAACGTGCAAAGTTGGTTTATTCAACGGCGTTCAGGCGCAGGCAACTTAGTAAAATGCCGGCACAACAGTGCGTATGATTAATGTTTGTTAGTGCTCAAAAATGCAACAAATACAAGTCGAGATCCAATTCAAAATCTATTTATTAATGCACAAGCGAGTGTGAAATATTGCATAAACTTTTTACACTTCCACGCAGGAAATAGCCAACAGTTAAATTCCAGCTGAAACGGTTAGTAAAAATGTTTAATGAATTGAAAAAATGAAGGAATCTAAATAATTAACATATTTGCTGGCAGCGCTAATTGATAATTGCTGTTTTCATTCAATTTGACACCATTTACATCACGCAAATTGAGCGTTATTTTTTTTTTATTCAGATATATTGGTATATAAGTTAACTAGACGAATCAAACCACTTGATTAACAATCTATTACATTATATCCCGTCATTAAAAGATGTATGACCGAACACTCAGTGCAACCGAACCACTAGATTTCGGTTATTTATTTTTTTAGTATTATATTGATGTACTAATATCGCTCGGCACCTCCGTGAACTCTTTAAATTAGCTTAGCTCATATGATTATTTTTTGCATTGTGCATACTGACAATTAAAATAAATTCTATTGAGGCTTACGAAAATTCGCAATGAAAAACTCCTTAAAAAACAGACGCAATATGTAAAAATTAAATGTAATATGTGTTGACTTTCAATTTATATTTGTCTTTCATTTGAACTTAAAAAATAATATAAAAACGTTGTATATTAACCATTTGAAAATATTGTTCAGATAATTATTTCTTAAATTTCCTTATTTCAATATTTGATTCTAAGTCTTACTATTAAAACTTCTCATATTTTTACTTCCAATACTATTCGTGTTACCTACCTTGTATTGATTCAATTGATACTACTTACCTACTGCTTAGTACCCCACATGTAAATAGCAGGACTATTAAGTTACCGTGAGCCAAGTCAGAAACTTGTAAGCAAGCTTCATGCCTATATATTTTTATTTTTTAGCAGACACAAAGTTGGCTCAGACGTAATTTTTAGCCTATCGATTTCCCATTACTTCTGCTATCCATCGCGATTTTTTTTTAATTGTTAAAGTAATTTGTTGCCTGCCTTTTAACTTTATTTTAAAAGCCAGTGAATTATATATTTATATATATACTTGCTTTTTATTATACATCACTGCTCAATTTTAAAGCAACTACAACGAGTCGAGCTGCGTCGGTTGTCGCAGACCCACCGACCCACCAAACCGACATGACAGACTCGATTCGGCAGACGTATGTGTATCAATTTGGTAGACTAATTTTTTCCATGTTAGCGTGTCGCCAAACCAATTGTCAGTCTGTCATATTCAGTTGATCTAACAGGTTCTAAAAGGTATTACTTAGATATGACAAATCAGCTCGAGACACAAGCAGCCAATGGCATAAAGATCCTGGGTAACTTCGAGATATTGAAATGCTTGAGTTTATAAAAAATAAACAAGCTTATCTTATCTTAAGGCTTAGCTCAAGAACTAATTACCCCATCTTAAAATTGCCTTCTATTTGTGCTGATTAAGTAGCACCGGATTCAACATAACATGATTTGTGCTTCAGAACACGCAATGTTAGTGTTGGTAAATGCTTCGCTAGCTGTGACGCCTTTGGCAACGTTGCCAGCTCGTTATACCAGAAGACAAGCAGTTAATCAATCTTGGGTTTGAAACCGATAAGCAGTTATAAATATGTGAGAGCATAAAACAAAACGGAGCGCAAAAAAAAGAAAGCAAAATAACTATCCCTTAAGCGAGATGATAAAGAAACTACTTGTATTTGAAAGTGCCTAAGAGCATTCAGCAAAAACTGTGACAAACACGAAACGCCAAAGCCAAGAAACGAAAGCTCAGCAAAGACGGAAAGAAAAACACTAGAGGGGGACAGAGGCCGGCAGAGGCGTTAAGCAGTTGCTGGCATTGCCGGGCAGCTGAAAAAGGATCTACATGATTTATAAGGTACATTAAATTGAATATTCAACATAATGTAGCATTTAAATGGGCAAGCACACAGCAACTATCAGCATATGTATATATGTGTGTATGTGTGTACACAAACGTATGCATAACATAACGTATATAAATACATATACATACGCACATATACATACATAAGTGCGTTGCCATCTCAAGGTCATTTGACTCGCAATGGCATTTTTGGCTCAGAGCTGCCCACTTGGCGCGGCTTGGGTTGACTTGGCTAATGTCTAAGTGACTTTTGGCTGCGCCCGAGAGCATGCCACAAAATCAAAATACTTAGGCAGCACCTAATGGCATGCCTTGTTGATCCGTGTCCTTTTGCTGCTTCCTTGTTTGCCGATGCTTTTTATTAAAGTTCGCGCATCTTCAAGTTCAGCCAAAAATTGAGTTTTTTCCTTAAATGCCAACAATAATAACAGCAACAACAAATAAAGAGGAGGAAATAAAATGAAAACGCACAACTTTTAGCGTAAAAAATTATTGAAGTTCAACGTGTGCAAAAGTAATTTACCAAACCAAAACGTAGCGAGCATTATAAATCACACGTTCTGCCCCACAGCAGAGTGCCAACTATAACTGCAAATACGTACACAGACACACGCACATTAATTCAAACGCTCACACTCACTAGCAATATGTGGACACGCGTTACGTGTGCAGGTCAAATGTGAAAAGTCAGCCAATTTGGGCCACATTTGACAGACAAAGCGGCGTCGTGACCAGCTCTCTGCCAGCTAAACGCTGCACTACACCTACTCCCCCCGAAACCCCAACGCGTTCAACGCTTAGCAACACTTAAGCACATGCAATAACGGGATCACAGACACCTTTTAAGTCGCCATTTACTTAAATAATATCGTATATGTTTTTTAACTTTCTGACCTCGGCAATATTGATAAATTTTAACCAATTCGTAAGCACTATAACGATAAGAACTATCCATCAGTGTTATATTTAGAATATATTTTTATCGATTTCCCCAAAAAAACAAACTTTATTTCATTTCCTTTTCGTTCACTTTTAATGCAAACATTTTAAAGATAAAATATTTTGATGCTTACATTTAATCTTAAGTTTTCTCATTCTGATGTGTTATTTTACGAACATGATACCCTAAATTAGATTTTCCTTCCATATTTATTCAGTTTTAGAATAACATTTTATAGCTATGCTTAAAATAACCACACGAATACCTAAGCTAAGCTATAAAGTCCATGGTTGAACTTTTAGACCGTTTTACGGACTGCTAAAGTACCTTCTGTAGATACTTAAATAAAGTTTCTAATCCTTCTGATACTGATCTACATCATTTATTGAGCCTTTCAGAACCTGTAATATTCAATTTCGCCTACTTTCTAGTCTGTAGAAACTAGTTAAATTCGAATCCAACCGACTGCACTTTATTCTGTACACAGTGTGCTAAGAACTGAATACTACCTAATAGGAAAAGTTTTAACTCTAAAACCGCAATTTCCAAGCAAAGACATTCATACTGTAACAGTGGAAAACATGAATGATTGAAATTTGTGCATAGAGATGCCTTGATCTTGCCATGATCTTTGAGGGACTTTGCGGGAATTGCAGATTTTAGGGGATAGAATGGCGAACATTATTAAAATATTGATTTTAATATGAGATCCACAATTCATTAGGCAAATCAGCAAGAAGCTTACCCCCACAAAACGTTCGGTTAATAACTATGTTGTGTCCATGTGCAATTCTATGCTGTCAGTAGCACCTGTGCGTAAAAGTCGTAGCTGTTAAAGTAATGAAAGAATAAAAGAAAAAATAACAAAAACAAAACAAAAAATGAGCAAAACAAAAGGAAAACAGAACATCAAATAATAACAACAATAATATCTGAGAAAAGTAGCAGCCGAGAAAAGAGAAAACTAGAAATCTAAAGCTATTGGGCTGTGATGAATAGATGCCGCGAGCAGTGGAGCATGGACTTCATGAGCTTTTTGGTCAACGCACAGCGGCTGACCCAGTGGGTGAGTAGATGTAGACGTTGTCGTGCCACAACATCAAGGCAACCTAAGCTGCACGGCTGCACTTACAGCGCCCCACCGGCGGTCCGGAGCTAATGTATATCGCCCTCTCACACGAGAGCTGCGATCTGGACTCGGTGGTTAGTACGTTGGCCATTGCATATTTGCGGTATCGCAATCCTGGTACACTGCAGCATAACTATATGCCCGTATTAAATATGCTGCGACGCGATTATCCCAGCAAGTCGGAGGTGCGCTTTCTGCTTGACAAGCAGCACATCAAGCCCGATAGGCACCTGGTCTTTCGCGATGATGTTCCCGAGGAGCTGCTGTTGCGCAGTCGCTTCATTTTGGTCAATCATCATGTCAGCCCCTTCCACTATTGCACCGAGGAGGTCTACGACTATCGGCCCTATCAATGCGAGGCCGCCCGTCTGCCGATCTACTGCCAGCGCATCATGCACCCGATGCGCTCCTGTGCCGCCCTAATAACTGAACGCTACGACAGCCCCATCTATAACTATGCGAATGTGCGCTGTTTGCGCGTCTTTGAGCTGCTCCATGCTGCACTCCTCCTGCAAAACAGCAACTATGCGCAGTACACGCCGGAGCAGCTGCCCAATGTGCGCGACTATCAGCTTTTGGTCTATCTGGAGAAGCATCTGGGACAGCTGGATACACCGCAGCGCACCATTCTATATGATACGCTGGTCAGTGCGATGTTCGATCTAAATGAGCTGACGTTGCCGCAGATTCTGCGGCGCGAGTTCAAGCTGCTGCGCGCCAATAATGGCAGCCATTTAGTACGCATTGCCCAGTGCTGCTTCCCGATGGCAGTAACACGTTTCATATCATTCGAGTTTGCTCAGCTGGCAATCCAACAGTTTGCCGCAGAGCACAGCTGCGACTTTATAATGCTGCTGGGCACCAGCATGCAACCCAAGGGCGGACTGGTCATCAAAGAGCTCGGTCTCATACCGCTCGACTCACTGAGGGACGTGGAGGATAGACGCTTATTTGATCACATGATTATTAATCTTAGTGCAGCCGTAGAGCCGTTGCTTGCACTAGAGCCTTATCGTGGACTCAACTTCATGCAGGGCGCCTTCTTTTTTATTAATGTCTGGAACGTTCAGTTCTACGATATGCTGTACCTTATGCAGCGCGTCATCTACAACTGGGTATCTGAGGACAAATTCTCGCCAACCTAAGCCTTTATACTCTCTACATTTATTTCGAATAAAGCCTAACAAAATTTCACATGCCCCTCGTCCCAGCCCCTTTCAGTTCTCCACTGTCTCATATGCTCAAGTTGGCCCACCCAATCCATCAACACTCGTCTCGGTGGGACCCACTTTCCGATTCCTTGGCAAGCCAAACTGAAAACAGATTTAAAAAGCTATGCATAAGCGACTTGACTCATGCCCTACGCTTCAATTTAATTAAAAAATATTCAAATCTATTTCATCAAAAACTTTCAGTAACAATTCTATTTAGCTTCGAGAAATATCCCTTGTAGGCAAACCATCCAAATATAAGTGACTTTATTATTATTATTTTAATACATTAACTAGAAAAAAATTAAGTTCTTAGTTTGGACACCAGGCTAGATCTTAGGCGCTGTGATATCTCTTATTTTTATACCTTAAAGACACAAGAAAAAATTAACTGATAATATCTACTTTTTTACTGTTTTCGCAATAATGCTTATTATATATGGAAAATATAGATAAAACCTTGGAATTTTGTAATGTATATGACCAGTTAAAAGCACATTTCATTAATCCAATTAAAATCAAATTCAAAATCTTTTATAAATTTAATGTGATCTGGATCAATGTGCTAAATTGGCATCTACCAATATGATCCGGGTTTTTTCACAAAATATGGTTTAGTTCGGGCTTTGGTTCGATTATTTGAACTGATTAGCTTTTGGCTTACAGTACATTTAAAAAAGCTAAATTGGAAATGTAGTATTTTATTAAGTCTACTTTAAAACCTGCAATCTACAATTTACCCAACTTACGTTTGTTATTAGCATGTATGCCGACATCATCGGAATATTTATATTCAAAAATTATGATGGATGTGTAAACAGTCTGTTAGGGTATGAAACATGAGTGTTTAACCCATACGCAAGCATTGAAATTATGATTTACGCACACACACGAACACACACACGCAATAAGCGTGAGCGATTGCCTGTTCTATGTGCAGTCGATGACAGAGGGGCACCGCTGTGGGGTGAGGGCGGACTGTTTAAACCATTACACAATACATTAATCTAATCATACGAGAAAATGTGCCAGTTACCCGCACGCAGCCAGTTGCCAAATTCATGAACTCTAAAATGGAGTTTTATATATGAATCTGACCCTGGTTTTTTGTGTTTTTGCTGCCATACACACCACACAAGCGCACACACACGGCCACACACACCTTCAGACACACACACACACACACACACGCACATGGGCAGGCAAAAGTATTTGCAACTTGATTTATAAGCGCGCTGATGTCAGTTACGTGCACGCACTCAATAATGGCGGCAGCAAAAGCTTGCTGCGAGCGTGGAAGGTGGGTGAGAGGTTGGGGTAGGGGGTTTGAGCGGGTGGTGTTGTTGTCTCTTGTTGTCTTTCTGCTGTGGCAACAAGAATTGGCAAAGGACTCGCCACCATTGCGCAAATTGCTTGCAACACTTTTATTTTTTTACCGTCGCCATTTGCTGTTTGGCTTTTATAAATCGCTTAGACCCATCGGCTACAAACCAACCCCACCCACTCTCCACAGCTCACCTTTTCACTGGCACCCTCCACCAACCGTAATGCTGATAACGGCGACAAGTCAAAGACGCCAAAAACAGGAAATTCTCTGACGTCAGTCGAGATTTGAGAGTCGAGAGTCGACATTATTCTCTGGCGCCACTCAAAACACATCCATCAGCGCCGCATTTATATGAAGCGCTTAATGCTCTGAGCACACCCAGAGATGCTGCCGAGAAAAAGCATTGCTTGGGACAGGTGAAGGGGCTTTGCCTCTGAGTCTGCCCTCCTAATTGTCAGACTGCACGTCTTTTTTCATTTTCATTTGATATACACTTGCTGGGGGCAATAAAACTTCAGCACGAAATGTGTAAAGCTTTATTCGCCATTCCCTACATCAAAGGCCGACATATATATATGCTTGATCCTCGTGTTATTTTAACGTGCTATGGATATCTTTACAAATATATTAATCCAATAAAAAACTATTGACTAAATAATTTATAATAAATAGCATACTATAAGCCCGTCTCAATGTAACATTTTTGCATTCCAATTATTTTATTGCTAAAAAAATAAGTAGATATTTTCAATTATTTGAATTGATTTATTTATTTGCATACACTGCCACAAGTTCAAGGCTTATGGCTGCAAGGATATCAAATCGTCGCCATTCCGTTGAAAGCGCGTTTTTTCCGTTGTCTTCAGTTGTTTTGTCTGTTTTGTTCGTTTTATATTTTGCGTTTCTTGTTTACCATTGCATACTTTTGTGCGCATGGCGCGTAATGAAGATAATTGCTGTTAAGCGCATCTCTAGGCGGATTTAAGAGCCACGCCTTGCAGCAGACTGCCCGCCCCACAGCCTGTACGGCATTTACTTGTCTGAATTGTCAACGAAAGTTTAAGCATTTGACTTTTATTCGTGTACCCTATGGGAAATGGCACATTGCTTGAATGAGAATGCCAATAGATATACCTTTTGATAACAACTGTTATAAAGGAGAAGCAATTGGTAAATCTTGATACTCAAATTATAAATATTGTTAATATTTGAATCACAATTTAAAATTATTTAGTTTGCATTCAAACACAAAACCATTCGCTTAGTATTTTAGTACTTCTGTTGTTCACATTGCAGTAAATGCTTCACATTATTTAGCAAAAAGGGCATTTATTAGTCGACTACAACACCTTGGCCTTAATGCTTTTATTTATTAAATTTTTTAGTTGCGTTGCTTTTTACGTTTCCCTTTTTAATTTGCACTTGCCGTGGGTGTGTTGGAGGTGACTGGGGCGTGGCATGGATATTATTTCAAAGAGCGCACGAGACTTGCATTAATTAAATTCTTCAGACGGCTAAAAAGGTGTTGCCTTGTTTGTTGTTGTTCTCATTGTTGTTCTTATTACGCTTATTGTAGCTGCAGCAGCTGAAACGGCAGCTAATTGGCAAACTGCTTATAGTAGGTGGCACACAAGGCGTATGGGTGATGCGGCCAGATGAAGCAATCAGTGCTGCAATAACTTGACTGAAAGACAATAGTCGACTTAACTGAAAGAATTTAAATTGCAATTAAATATCATGCGATTCTACCCGCAAGTCAGCCACTTGACCAAGAGAAGGAAGGAAGGGCAGACAGCGGGAGCAGCTCCATTGTCCGGCTATTCCAAGCAACTCGCCATTTGCTCAGCTCGTGCTGGCTTTGCATATTTCCGGCTTCCGTTTTGGCTGCGACATTGTCACAAATTTCTATGCCACCATTTTTGTAGCGAACTTTTCTATTTCTACATACATTTATTTTGCGGTTGTTTTTTCTTCTTTTGTCAAACTTGTTTACAGGCACCAAATTATTGTGACAGACGCCAACATTTATGACAAATATAATAATAATGCGAAAGAGATTGGCTTTGCCATGTAACAGGTAATTGTTTTCGTGCCTGTCGCTACGCTTCATTTGGTTTTGTTTTTCGTCTGGCTTCGTCTTTACTTTGCTTACCTATTTGTTTCGGCTTTTTTCTCCGCTGCTGTGGCATAATTTATTGTATTCTTTGCCTCGCATTTGCATAAATATTTTAATTTGCATTTTAACAAAATGGGAATTTTGTTGGGGCCTGCGTAACATTATCTATTATATACATATAGAGTTTTATCTTTATAAATATATATATACGCTATAGAAAATTTGGCGAGGGTTTCTTTTACCCAGCTTTGGCCCAAAAATATTAAAATAATAACAACAAAATACTGAACTTCAAAGAATTGAATTTAAATGTTATTATACGAGAGCCTTAAAACATAAATAGATTGCAATATGCTCCGTTGATGCATAAAATTTTCTTAGCGTATAATTTCTTAGCCATGTACACAAATTGCAAACACTTATTGCATAGTGAAGTAAGAAAATCATCATCTAAATTTATAAAATATCTCATGTAAATTTGTGGAGCGCAAATCAGAAATTAAATAAAAGTAATTTATAATTACAATTGCCTCCCATGTAATTTTAATTGAAACTAATTTTCATAATTATTCAATGGCAAAACAAGCTTAATGGCAGCCTAATTGAGCTTAAATTAAATATCTATAAAATAACATTGTTTTTTAGTATTTTTACATTTATTGCGTTCGGTTTTGCATAAATATTGCATTCATATTGCGATTTTATTATGTTGCGCATACGCCACATGTGCCCTTTTGTTGGCTTACTAAACAAAGAGCCCTCGCATATGCAAATATGTTGTGTTCCATGACTAAAAGCAAAACTTTTTACTATGAAAAAAAAATGTCTACCATGCTACGCATTGCTCGTGCCTTTTACCCTTTACCCATGCCACTGTATAATATGGATACTTAAATTTAAGCATTTTGTATAAAAGCAGTTAAAGACATCTTCGATTCATGATACAAATTAAGCTTTAAATATCCTACGCAATCTCAAATCTATAAAAACCACAATCTGTCTCTATGAACACAATTTGAAAGTTGATTCTTAAAAAAAGGTAATGGCCGCATTATAATCAACTACGCTGAACTTTTCAGGCATATGTAAGTATGTATTGGATACAGCACATTTTATGCTCAATCCCTCTTATCCCAAGCATTCTTGTATTGTCTTGTGTTTATAACCTTTTGAACCTTTTATTTGTAATTTTCCAAGCAAATTAGATGAAGAAGAATGTTTGTATATATTCGAAAAATCTTTTTCATATTTCTCCTTTAGTTTTGCCTCGATTCCCACAATTGCCAAGTCGTGGGCGGGCAAAAGTGGTGGCGAATGGTATTTTGTGAGAAGTTTGATAGATGTTCGACCTTGCCTGAGGTACATCTTTCGAAGCAAATATCAAAAGCCAGCAACCGAAGACTCAATACAGTATCCAACACATAAAGAGAATTACCTTACAGCCATTTTAAAGATATATATGTTTCTGATATAATTAAATAGCTGTGTTTCTTGCTTGCATTTGAATTCTTGGCAGTTATTGGTACCCGTTCCTATAAGTGCACCAAACTTTGATTCAAATATCATTATCATTAAAAAGTATGTAAAAAATATCGATTGTATATTTGGGGTCAACTACGGACTGACGATTATCGATTTTCAATGTTCACTGCTATGTTACAGATATTGCTATCAAATTATAAATGATACGAGTTAAATAAAACTGAATTTGTGTGGCATCAAACGCGCATAATTTAATAAAGTCGAGGCACTCTGGGGTGGTGGCGCTGCCCAACGGCGGTTGTGCCCCAAAGTAGGCAATCACTTTATTATTAAGCCAGACACACACACACAGACACGCACACACACACACACATATACACAAGCGCACACATGTAGATTGAGCAGACACAGTTCATAAAAAAGCAACACAATAATGGCATCAAATTTGAAGATTTGATGCGGGAAAATGCTTTTCACGTTTTCAGCATTTTGGTGGCTTTTGTGTATGTCTAGGCAGCTTATTGATAGATAATATATTTATATTTAAATAACACTTCATCATGCTGTTGTCGCTGACGTTCTCGGGGCAGCACTGGATTGTGCTG